GCTCCCTCAGCTACAGATTTACTGCTAGCCACTCCAGCATTATAGCCGTAGATTGACTTGATGACTTCTCAAGACATAACGGTTTGGGGATGCGCTATTTCCATCTATGGGCTGCTCTTTCTGAGTGCCACGAGAACCCCTTCGAACAGTATTTTTAAATCCATGTTATGGTAAGTGTGCACGTAAAGCGAATTTAATAGGAGAAAATTATTGGTCATCCAATCTTTTACATTTTTAACACACTCTGTTAGCTTGGATAATTTAGAAGTTTCATCTGGTCTTGTTAAGATATATAGTTGAGTATCATCAGCATAACAGTGGAAACTAATCCCGTATTTTCTAATAATATTACCAAGGGGCAACATGTATATCAAAAATAGCAGAGGACCTATGACAGATCCTTGTGGCACTCCATATTTTACTGGTGACATTCCAGCAGTTGAACCACATGCAAATAACATTCCACTGTTATAGTGAATTCCCCTGGTGGTGACACTTTTTGCAAGATGAACTTGACTGATATCTGGATACTTCTGCCTGAGAGCCAACACAACTTCCTTAATCAGAACATCAGCCTGGAATAAAAAGCTATGTTTAGCTCCAGTAGTCTCTGTCTGTGTTCAGACACTTTGACATCAAGATTGGCTATCATCCCTTCAATGTGAACAGGTGCCACAGCTAATTCTGCAATTTTCTTCAGGTCCTATATTACTTGCCAAGCAAGCTCATCCTCTGGTATCAAGTCTTCTGTTAGAAAAGGAAGCAATCATATTAAGTAGTTTAATATAGTTCTTTAAGTAAAATCTCCAAAATCACTGAGGTAAAACATCTGTTAAACAAGCCTGTCGAGATGTTCTTCCCTTACAGTTTTTGGTGCACTAATTCAAATGTCAGAAGAGTAATAAAAGGTTGTGCAGAGTAAAGTTAATTTACATTTGTCAGTTTTTTTTTTTTTTGCATTGAATGATTATATGACAACAAAGTATATGACATGCTTTTAAATTATATCAATATCACTGTGACTGGTATTGGGACACGACTCAAATCTCTTTGTTTATCCTCCAGAACTGTGAACGTGCAAATGCTGATTTGGGATTTGCACAGACAACCATGGGCATCTATATCATTCGAGCAGATGGTGCTGGTCCTGCAGACGAACCTACAGATGTTGGTGTCATACTTGAAGGTGTGGAAAACCTACAAAGTGTCACACGTGGATGTGTGATACTTTTTGGACTCATGTATGCACTAAAACTAAACTACCCAAAGGACCTCAAGTGCACATTTGTACTGTTTCAGAAAATCCTGATGGAACTAGATACTTATCACGACTGCTACTGAACTGAACGAAGGAGCACGGAGACGAAGGAGTTGCAGGAAAACAGTCTTTAATGATCCAAACTGGCAAAAACACAGGGTAGCCAGGAGACACACACACGTAGCATCGGGAATTGACGTTTAACACAGGACGCTAGACACAGGAAATACTGGGCTTAAGTAAACGGAACTGAACAGGGGAATTAACAAGACACAGCTGAAACAAATGGAACTCAATAGGAACAGGAAGAACCAAATAAGGGCATGAAACACACGAGGGAAAACTATGTAATGGAGAGCACACGAGGAGAAAAACACAAGACAGGAACACAGAGCTGACCATGGGCGTGACATTACCTCCCCCTCCCGGAAACATCAACAAATGGAACTCAATAGGAACAGGAAGAACCAAATAAGGGCATGAAACACACGAGGGAAAACTATGTAATGGAGAGCACACGAGGAGAAAAACACAAGACAGGAACACAGAGCATGGGCGTGACATTACCTCCCCCTCCCGGAAGGCACGTCCACGCGCCTCGTAACATCCAACGGGGAGGGGGGGTGGGCGCTCTACAGGCCTCTACGGACAGGCTTATGTGAGATGGATGGCCTCCAGGGCGGTACCGGATCTGGGACCCATGCTGGATCAGGCAGCTCCGGGTGCCATGGTGGATCAGACAGTTCGGGGAGCCATAGCGGAGCAGGCAGACTAGGGAGCCGTGGCGGAGCAGGCAGACTAGGGAGCCATGGCGGAGCAGTCAGTTCAGGGTGCCATGGCGGAGCAGGCAGACTAGGGAGCCATGGCAGAGCAGATAGTTCAGGGGGCCATGGCGGAGCAGACAGTTCCCGAGGCCATGGTGGAGCGGCCTCCGTGGCCTTGGCCTCGGTCTCTACGACCGGAGCCCTATAGCCCCCCCAAAAAAAATTCCTTGGGGGACATTTCGGGTTCTGAGGCCCTCCGTGGCCCTGACATAGGAGCAGCGGCCATCCCTGGGCTTGACTCAGGAACTGTGGCCCTCCTTGGGCTTGACTCGGGAACAGGGGTCCTCTCTGGGCTGGACTTGGTAACAGGAGCCCTCTCTGGGCTTAACGTGGGAACATGAGCACTCTCTGGGCTGGACGTGGGAACAAGAGCCCTCTTTGGGCTTGGCTTGGGAGCAGGAACCCTCTCTGGGCTTGGCTTGGGAGCAGGAGCTCTCTCTGGGCTGAACTTGGGAACAGGAGCCTTCTCGGGGCTTAACATGGGAAAAGGAGCCCTCTCTGGAGCAAGGTCAGGGGCTGGAGCCGACACTGGAGCGGACTCAGGGGCTGGAGCCGACACTGGAGCGGCTGTTGCGGTTGGCGGGCTGGTTCTGGATCGGGGCCGGACACTCTCCAGACACCGGACGATACCTTCCCTCCAGCTCAGTCCAGTGGTGTTTGGGAGGTCCACGGGGCGATAGTAATTGGCCCTGATCCAGAATGGAGAATTTAGTGTGGCGTTGTCCAATGGGCGAATTCCCGATCGAATTCCACAAATGGGAGATCCCTGCGGGCTAGGGTGGAGAATCTCGCGGCGATGTCCATCACCATGGGGAAAAGGGAAAAATAAAACTTTCAGAAACGGAAACAAAAATGTGGAGAAGGGGCACCGCTTACTGTTTGTTTTGGTCCTGTGTTCTGTCACGACTGCTACTGTGGAGGAACGGAGCACAGAGACGAAGAAGTTGCAGGAAAACAGTCTAATGATCCAAACTGGGGAAAACACAGGGTAGCCAGGAGACACACACATGTAGCATCGGGAATTGACATTTAACACAGGATGCTAGACACAAGAAACACTGGGCTTAAGTAAACGGAACTGAACGAGGGAATTACCAAGACACAGCTGAAACAAATGGAACTCAATAGGAACAGAAACAGGAAGAACCAAATAAGGGTATGAAACACACGAGGGAAAACTAGGTCATGGAGAGCACATGAGGAGAAAAGCACAAGACAGGAACACAGAGCTGACTATGGGTGTGACAATACTATGAAGCTGTCACCAAAATTCAGTGATTAATTATAGGAGGGTTATAGTTATTTTATAGTAATTTCCTGTAGAATGCTCCTTCTATACTGCTGTGCTTCTAACAATTAAATGTACATAGACAAGTTTGATGGTGCAAAGACACTCAACCACTGAGCCTTATGGAATGTTTTTTTTTTCTGACCACCACCCATTCCAAATGACTGCATGTCACATATTTCTGAATGTTATTGTAATGTAAGCAATGCTGTTATCAGATGTACCTGTTTTAATTCTACCTTGAGTTTTACAGTAGTAAATACCTTGAGTTTTACAGCAGTTCTTGAGGAAACTTATCTCTAGCACTGGCTAACATGTTTTGCTAGCACCTCTTTTTGCTGAGTTTGTTATTCTCAAAATATGCCTTGAAGCATTAAAAAATTGTGAAACAAGGTGGTCTGACTTGTTTTTTGTGTGTGGTTAGATTTTGTTGTAGCAGATTGTGATTGGGTAGGGGATTGGGGGATGAATAATATATATATATATATATATATATAAATACATTGGGTTCATGCCAGGAAATGCTCATCCAATCTACCCAGGGGTGGTTTCCCGTCTCTCGTGCCACCTGGGAAGATCCAATTTATCTGTAGCGTGGGACATGACCTCCAATAACTAATCATATGCAGGGTAGGTGTACTGGGTAGGCTCAACTTCTTTGCCCTCCCCAGACACATCCTGCTCTTGACTTGAGGCCAAATCGTATGATGCCATGGATAGCATATCCGGATCATCAGCTCACTCGAGTTGGTAACCAAGCAGTGAGAAGGGTCTAGGCACTTTTTAAACTCCTTTGCCAGCGTGACTTGAGACCCCCACGACTGCAGTTTCCGCTGAACCTCAGCTTTAGTGGGTCCTGAACCGCTTGACACCAGCGTTAATTCCTCTTCTCTCGAGAAGATGGATAAACGTGAATGGAGCTTTTAGATCAGAATGCACTCACAGTGATCACATTCAGCCCCCACAAGGACTAAACATACATGCTCCTCACCCAAACACATCATGCAAAAGTCATGTGAATCCCCAGGTGTCAGATATCTCTGACACAGAGGAATTCACTTCTTGAAACATTTTGTACTGGGATCCATGATAACAATTGCCTTTTAGAAACACGCTATGAACAAACTGCTTCCTGAGGACAAAAAAGAGGATGACATGTTATATGGGTGCCCTTTTATACCTCCAGTCGTGCCTGTATTACACCACTAGCTGTTGCCAGCCAATGTCATTGTCATTGCCGTGTTTGGATACATGCTTCAGACATCGATCCCGCCAAATAGTATCCACTAGAGGATGCATTGAGAGTTCCCATTTGAAGGAGAACCACATATGTGGTAAACCATGTACTTCAGACACCAACAGGGTTCCCATGGGTCCTTAAAAAGTCTTAAATTGTACAAGAAAGTCTTAATTATGATTTCAGGAGGTCTTAAATTTGGGGACGGAAAGACCAGAATTGCGATATGGCTTAATGTTACGATTAAACTTCAAAAGGCGATGATTTCATAAAATAAACATGAGCAGTACGCGTTTCAAAGTCCGGTGCTGTGCTGCTTTGTTTACAGCTGTTACCGGGGAAACAGTTCTATTTTTGCCTTTCCAAAAGCGCTTCCTGCTGGCAGAGAATCAATGTGCATTTTCAATAAGCCTGTTTTATTGGAGTAGAGTATTCCTGAAATACCGGAGGCTGCAGTTTCAGCGCATTTTTAGTGCCCTATATATTTTTAATTTTTTATTATTTTAATATTTATTTATTTATTTTTGTATGTACAGTATGTATTAGCAGCTCATACTATTTCATAGCACTTGCTATTCAGTTCTGTATACACTAGTCTAAAAACGATGTTTTTACCCTGCAAACACAGAGCTGTAAATGTAAACTGATGGATCGATAAGAAGATAATGCATTAAAAAAATCTAAACAGTAAAATATATTTATATGTTATTTCATTAATATAATAATTGATTGATAATAATTGTTTAAATTAATATAATTAATACTTTTGACTTCAAAAATCCCAAAATTTGAAAGGCTGAAAAGTCAAGTCAAGTCACCTTTATTTATATAGTGCTTTTAACAAAACAGATTGTGTCAAAGCAACTGTACAGCATTAATTAGGAAAATAGTGTGTCAATAATGCAAAATGACAATAGTAAACACTAAATTTTCAGTTAAAGGCAGTTTGAACCATTGAATTCAGTGATGTCATCATCCAGCTCTGTTCAGTTTGATGGTGTGTGTCATTTTATAAAACTTTTGTTTTTGTGAAAACTTGTATCTGAACTGTAAATCATGCTTTTTACAGTCATTTTACAGTTTAATATGTTACTATAGACATTGCCCTATCCCGCTCATATGGTATTTATTTTATTTGTGCAGGTTTTAAAAAGTATTAAATTTGAGCTTAAAGGTCCCCTGAAATGCTTAGAAACACGCAGCGTTACTCTATGTGTTGACGTCATTTTAACTGAAACATGAAGACAGGGCGGGACATATCAAGCAGCCCCACCCCTTTTTAAAATAGCCAATAGCGTTCGTTTATATCACAGCCTGGGCTAGAGCCGGTCAGAGCCGTTGAGCTCTGTAAAGCCGCTTTTGACAGGGTATGCCAGCCACAATCTCATCCATATTGCTATAAAATATAGCATTCTGTGTAGAATTCAAATATTTACACTGTTTGAATCGTTCCCTGTCCCCTATATAGTGCACTACATGCCATTCACTGTACAGAAAATACTAATTCTGTGGACAAGTGACTGATTTTAGCTGCGGCTTCAGCGTCTATTTTATAGTGTAGGGGGCGGGCGCTTCAGATTCTAGAGAGCACTTGATTGGACAGAAAGTTTGATGAGAAGCTGAAGTACGATGTGACGTCAAAAAAATCGTTGAGCCGTTTTGGGGGAAGTGACGAACTGCAAGCTTTGAATGCTTATATCTTCTAAATGCGAATTTTGTCACTGTTTTGGAGCACACTGCCTTATAGATAACCTTAAGACTAACATATTGATAATAACACCCAAAAAACTTTCATTTTGATTTAATGGGGACTTTAAAAATCCTGCAGCAACCCTGACCAAGTTTTTATTGCTATGACTGTCACGAAGCAATGCACATAGTGTAGTGTATTGCACAGAAAGAATACTGAACTAAATTTGGAGCTACACTTCTGGCACTAGAACCAACACTGAATCGACTTGAGCTGAATAATGTCACTATTTCCTTTTTAGAGCTGCCTACAGAAGATTTTGAATTGTCTCAATAACTGAGTCTCCATAATTGATTCTGCTGTTTTCCTGTTTACTACTGTGAAGCTGCTTTGAAACAATCTGTATCCTAAAAAGTGCTACAGAAATAAAAGTGATGACTTGTGTTGACTAGATACCTCAACAATAGTAATACATAGGGTTTGGCAATACGATGTTATACTGTACAAAGCTCTAAACAACAGGGCAATGACATAAAGTGTATATTGCAAGTATGTACACTGTATTCAGCAAGTATTCTAGACACCTTCATTGTTTTAACATTTTGTTATGTTGCAGCCTTATGCTAAAATGCTTGAAATTATTTTTGTACACATCACATCTACGGTCCATACCCCATAATGACAAGGCAAAAAAAAAAAAACAGAATTGTGATAACTTTGCAATAAAAATAAAAACTGAATTATCACATTGACATTTGCTATGACACATGGAATTTAGCTCAGGTGAATACCTTCTGTCTAGATCAGGGAGTGTCTTGACTACATGCAATAGTCATGCAATAGTTTCTTTCAGAGCAACTGACAATCTCTTTATTCCCATCGTCTTCAGTTTGGGACATCACAACCTGATGCCAACCCTGCTGTCATCTGTGTCTACCACAAAAAGCTGGTCCAATACTGGGTATGCACATAGGGCCTCCTGAAGCTTATGGAAAACTTAGGCACGAACTTTGTCTCACATTGTGTGGTGCAGACAAGTTCTTCACTGTGACCACTTTAGTTGGGTCGGAGGCCACCCCAGCATCACTCAACAAATTCATGCACTCAATTGTCACAGCTGCGTCCCAAATTAAGCAATATACATTATGCACTTATACAGTATGTACTTATGCACTTTGTACTCACTCATGTAGTGTATGCATTACATAAGGTTATTTTGTCATTCATAATCGAAGTCTAATAGCCCCTCCCCCTACGCTACGTAAT